AGAGCTTTCATCTGCCCCCTCTTCTTCCTCTTTCTCTCCTTCTCTTCTCTCATTTCTTTTCATCTTGCCTTTTAAGCTTGTTTATCAGTCGCTATTTGAGGCACCGAATAACAATCGGCGTCGATAATGTCTGAATTTATCTTCTCAATTATTGTTAGTTTGGCCTCGTTTTTCAAACTTGGTTGCGGCTGTAGTGGTCGTGACCATTTACTCTATCGGAGCGTTGACTTGGTACCTCTTCAGACGCTTCGCCAGCGATGCCAACTACATTGTCGGCGAAAATTGTGAGAATGTACCAGATCAACGCTATATAATTGACGAAGACTGCGGCAAATCTCATAATTTTCATCGAATTATGGATCTTTTATGAAATACCATATTTGTAATATAATCGTTATTTTTGGTCAATCTCAGTCTTGACTGTCAGATTGGTCAGGTGAGTCTGGCCTGTGAGGGAAACAAAGAGAGAGAGAGAGAAAGAATGAGTGAAAATTTATTTGCCTAGGCTCAAGGCTAGGTCATCAAGTTGACATGGCGATTAATTTACAATTACGTCAATCATGTCCCGGGCTCTAATCCGCACAGCCTCTACCGCAGGGGAGGCTGTGAATTGAGTCTGACGCGCAGACCCCCTGGCCGGTACAGATAACCGGCGTAGACACTAGGACATGCACATTCGAGCGTATGCATTCATGTCTACTTGCCTGTGCATCCGCGTGTCGGACGGTCCAGTGAGACTTTTCCATGCTGGCCCGTCCTGGCCGGGTTCGTCTTCTTGTGCCCGTTCGTGCTCACGCCAAACAGACACGCCCCAGTTGATGGGTAGACCCAGGGAGATGGATAGTGTCGTGGTTGAGTGGTACAAGTGGAGTAGAACCACGGCTGGTCAGACCGAGGCAGAGCCGTCAGTCTGATACTCGACTGGAATGCCCCATCAAAATTGATATGGCTGTCCTAACTGGTTGTTACACGCAGGTGTGAGCATTGGTACCTGAGCACACGAGGCGTATGTTTGATTGTGTGTAATTGTATTTGTGGCTGTATGTCTACTAACCACGGTTCATCTGGGAGTGTTGTCTGCTCACCAATGCGCGTTGTGCTGCGTCAAAGTGACTTCAAGATGGCCGGAGAGAGTTTGTTCATTCAGTCCGCATAGGCAGACTCATTTACTCGAGGGGTGTGTTTGCATGTGTATTTGTGTGTGTGTGTGTGTGATATGCCCACTGTACGAAGCGAAGAGGTAGGAGAGACGATGAATGCGTTGTTTCACTAATTAATGAGTGTGTTCAGATCATCTCAGTGAAAGAGAAATCGAAGCGTGATGAGGAGGGCAAGCAGGATTGTCTATATCTATCTATCTGTGTGTGTGTGTGTGTGTATTTATGTATGTATGTAGGCTCACATTCAGGTTTGAGGGGGGGAGAGCGGGAAAGAAGGCCATTGTGAGGTTCTACACCCCCGAGCAAGGGAAGGATTGTATTTTTTGACTTGCCCAATCCTCTTCTGCAACAGCTCTCTTTCAGTTCTGCAGGCCGGAATATTCATTTCACTCAGATTACACACGTCCCCACTGGGATGCATGGTTGAAGAGGTGGGGAGGGGGGGAGTGTGGAACGAGCAAAAAGGGAAGAAGACTGCCAGAAAACAGTGAGTCTAGCAGCAATGGGTTGTGTCCAACTAGTTCACGTCAAAAAACGTCTTGGCAACCTGCCCTGCTCACTGGACCGGTATGGTGAGGCTCGAGGCCCGAGTCTCACCCATACCACTCCCTCGGGGCCTAGGGTAATCGCATGAGCTCGGCAAAGCCTGCGTCTTACAGACCGACTTGAGGCCGGCTTGTGTCACATCCGAGGCTGGTGGCTGGAGACCGACGATCTCGCTTTCGTAGACACTGACCAGTTTTGACCAGCCCAACTTGGCGCGGTTTCGACGAGACTGGCCGGTCTGTCAAGCCGAAGGGATCAGCGATACGATTCGCCCGAAACTTCAACTTGATATCCTCCTCCGGACGTGACCAGTGAAGGGCTTGTTCGCGGACTCGAGACAAATGAAGACATCTTCTTAATCGGGTCGTTTAGGCGGTTGCCCAACGCCGTGACAGGCCGGCTTCTCGATGGGATACTGGTTTCAGGATAATGCGTCTTCTTCGCAGCGACACGAGGCGCTGCGGTTGCTCTTCCGGATCGGCTTGTGTTATACTTGCTTTCATGTCTAAGTTTATCTGCACTCGAGTATCCACGGTTCGAGTCCCGTGGGTGAAACTGATGCGACGGCGAAGCGAATTCGAGAGCGAAGTCCAGTCTGGAGGGGAATACGGTCGTTTGTAACGCAGAGCTCCGTAATCTTTCAAACTCATTTTGGCTAGAGTCGATATCGTTTCTTGTTTAAAAAGGACCAGTTAACTATGAACAGCGTTTAACCAACAATTCAAACTTTTATTTCGCTGACAAGTTGGATTTGGAGACTACCTGGAGGTGTGTTTGCCCTATTTTGTTTAATGTGATAAGAGGACTGGTAGCTGAATTTCTCCACAAACATTTGAGCAAACCTCATGTTTCCATTGAAGTTCATTTAGCTTTGCTTCCCAAAAGGTATTCTCATCCAGTCTGAAGTGGACCACAGTTTCGACCTCGTCAGAACTGTTCTCATCAGCACCCCAACATGACCCGAAACGTGATAATGCAACATATAATCTCGAGGGCAGATGTGACTTTTCAGCAAGACCAGGCAGCTTCCCATATCATATTCTGTGATAGGATTGTCAATAAAGCGAACATGTATTTGCCATTGCATTTGACTATATTACTTATTTTTCGCTTACAAGTAGCTTTTCTATACTACCGTTAGATCAGCTATACGTGACATGTCCAGCCTAATTCGTTTAATCGAAAGTATAAGACCAAGATGGTGTGGCCTTTTTTTGTGGTCGCAGTCTCCTTCTGTAGTATAGAAATTGTTTGACCTTGTTTTCACAACTTGGTCATATTGGAAGGAAGACTAATAGGAAAGCACCTTGTCCTGAGTCCATTGTATGCATAATTATTTT